TAAGTTGGCAGGCACGTGGGCAGATCTTTCCCTCCCTAAGTATCTCATTAGATCTTTCTTTATTCATTTCACCTTGATATGTTATTCACATTACTTTTTCCAGCACCAGTTTTCTTTTTGGCAGCTATCCAACGTCACATATTCAATCTTACACACCCACCCACACACACACACAAACAAGTAAACACGTGTAACATGACATTTTATTACAAAAGAAGTTATAATTTTTTAAACAACAAAAATGTAGATAGGCGATACTTGCCGTCATGCTCTCCAATTGTCAATCCTCACCGGTCAGTCACTGATCCTGGATAAATCGAGATGCTAATTTTTGAATAATAAATAATTTTAGTATAATCCCCACCCATCTCAATAATATAGCAGAGCAAATAAGTTTTTAAGAACTAAGATTTTAAATATTTTTAATATTACCAATATTTAAAATTAATTTTTAATTATTTGTTTCCAATTGGAGTCAAGTAATTTTAATGTACTCCTAGTCTTATTTTAAGCAAAAAGACATTGGTCACATTTAAAATTCCATTAAATATCTTATATATATATATATTTATATATATCAAAATATATTTTAAAAAAAGCCTCATATTTGAGATAAAGGTCGCATCCAATCATTATACTTTCGGAATATTCCTCTTCAGTCTTCAGCCCGTTTCGGAAACGTCCGCACTCCGTGCTCAGCACTCAAAACGCTGGGGACCTTAGTTTTTTTCCTTTTTTTTGTTTCCTCTTTTTTTTATCTTTTTTATTAAAAAAATATGTGCATACAAATTATTTTTGGTTTAACTTTCAGTTTTATCTAACACACTAAAATTTTTTTTTAAGATGTGTCCTTCATCTTAAAGTATTTTCTATTACAATTATCTAACACCCTAAATTATTTTTCAGGCAAGTTCAACATCTTAGAAATATTTTTTGATTCGTCCATCACACAAATATTTTATCAAATGTATCTAGTATTCTAAAATATTTTGTGATTCATCCAACGCTTTAAAATATTTTTTAGATACATCTAGTATTTTTATTGAATACACATGATAAATTATTTTAGAGTATTCGATGAAACTTAATCCAAAAATAATTTTAATATATAATACCTTTGGTCCTTAATATAAGAGTTAATTAATTAATTTGACTAGATTAATTTAAATTAGTTATTTGTAAAAAATAGGTGTTATCTTTTCTAAAATATTCTTGCTAATCAAAGTATTAGTTAAAACTATCATTATTATAATGACTACTTTAAAAATTGTATAAAAAAAAATAATGACTACTTTAAGAAAAATAGATGAATATGAGAAATTAAGTAGATTAAAATATTATATTTAGGATCAAAATAAAAGTTAAATAAACTCTTATATTAAAGATCATAAATATCATTTTTTTTGTGGTGAACAAAGAGAAGAAAAAAGAGCCAAAAAAAAAGTCCCACACTGTTCAGCTTGATGAGCACAGAATGCGGTCCCGTTTTGAAATGCTTCTTCTAGAAACTAGATTTTAAAATACTGCAAAACTAGGGAGTGTTTGATCACTTTTTATTCAATTAAATGATTCAAGGGTAAATTCTGTATGACAATATAGACATTTGAAGTTAAGCATCTGACTATTTTGCTTTCCAATATCTCTCTTTCAGCATTGACTACATAGGGTTAAAAATGTAATCTTGTATAAAAAAAAAGTATTCATGGAGTTGCTAAAGAAAATTACAAAAGAATAGGCAAAACTACACTTTTAATTTGATCATCTAACTTTATATAGTATTTCACTTTGACCCATTCATTTTATATAGTATTTTTTGTGGCAATTATTATTATTATTTTTTTTTTAAAATGATTTTTTTGGTCAAAATTGAATTTAATGTATTAGCATTTAAAAATATTTTATAAACATTTTAAAATTTTACTGTCAGCATTTTTTATTAATAAAACTAATAGTCCTGGGGTTAATAAACTAAAAAGAAAATCTCCTACCTTGCATTATTTTTGGCCAATCTATTGCCTCAGATTAATAGTGCTAATTTTTTTTAAAAAAAGAAGCTAATATTTCATCGGTTTTAAAAATTTAAGTGTTACTTTAATTCATAACTCCTTTAAAAAAAAACTCCTTCAATGAAAAAAAAAAACACTCTAACACCTAAATATTCATAGTTGATATGTTGTGAGAGATATCAGACAATAATGAGATGTCTAACTTTAATTCTCTATTTTGTCAGGCAGAATTTACTTTTAAATAATTTAATTCAATAAAAAATAATCAAACAGTTTCTAGCTCTAATTTTTTCAGAAGTTCTAGAAGGAACTTTACAAAACGTGTGGATCCCAAAAGTATACTGACTAGCTAAGTTGATATACAGATGATCCGTAATAATAATTAATTATAGACTGAAAACAACGTGTAAGTAGGACAGAAATTAAAAGGGCCTGCTCGTCTTTATTGTAAAGCAAAGTGGTATTAAAGTCTTAGTTGGTGTAAAATACTATTGTAATATTCCTCTAGTACTTAATGTAGCGCCTAATTAATGAATTGATTTTAATTCTAAATATAAGATTTATTTTTTATATTAATCATTTTTTCTAAATTGTTACTATTGATACTCCCTCAACCATAATTAAATAGAAGAAGAAAGAATGATGTCAAGAAAGATGATTATGGTATTTTGAAAAAAAACATGTCATATTTCTTATAATTAACTCACTTACCTAACTTTTTTAATATAATCAAATTAATTAAATAAGTTTTATAATAAGGACCGAAAGAACATCATTTAGAAAAAATATTTAAAAAGAACCTAAATAACTTAAATTCTTATTTGACTCACGTATTTATCAAAGCCTTTATAAAGTCACATGACTCTAGGAGGAATTTTAAAATATTATGAAATGACTATAATGCCCATTTCTTTAGAAACCTAGAAAGATAAGAATTTTTTATTATTATCCTATTGCGTAAAAACTCTAGAAGAGAGAAACTTCGCGTTCACCATTACAAAGTCAAAAAATCAATCAAGGAGGCAATGATGAGTTGGTTTTTAATACTAAATCTTCCTCCCTTAATCCTAATAGTTTTATTCTAACAGAAAATTATTAATTTAGAATTAAAATGTGTTAACTACAAAAAATTGTATTATGATCAAGTTTTATTTAATGACTTATTACAAGTATATTATAGAGACAAAATGTTGTGAATTTAGAATTAAAACGTGTTAATTGTAAAATAAAACATGTTAATTTTTAATGTTGTATTGTGATCAAGTTTTATTCAAAACAATTGTACTAATGTGTTATGGAGATAAAAAGTTATTAGTTCAAAATTGAAACATGTTAATAGCAAAATAAATCATATTAATTTAGAATTCTCTTTTAGTATCTAATAGGAAAGAGGCATTAATTAGAGCCATTTTATAAAATTTTAAAACCCTTCTTTGAGTTATGTAACCTGATTAGCAGTTTGATATATTTAATGATTTAAATAAGGATTTCAGTTATTTAAGTGTCTTTTAAAGGGATTGAAGTCATTTTCAATATATTTTATCAAAACTAAAAAGAATTAAATCTCAATTCTATTTTAAAATTTAACAATTTTTAATTTTATTTCTATCTAATATATACTATATATTATGAAAACAGTTTACACAGTATGTAATAATATATAAAATGTAAAATTATGCATTTATATGAAATTCAATGATGTGATTTGTAAATAGGGTAAAAAAAAATTTATCTTTACAACTGGGACTAAAGGAGTAGAGAACAAAGACATGTTAGTTTTTTTTAAAAATATCATCTACCGCAATACTACTCCTTAACAACTGTGAAGTGAGTCAAAAAATATTTAAATATCAAATCATTGAATTGAATATATGGGTCATCTAGTGGCACTGGTAACCCAAATGACAGGACGTGAAAGGATATGTACGCGCTAAAAGTTTAAATTTTGCCCAATTAATTTCTTTTTTTTAAAAAACATCATTGTTTTTCTTGATTTGGTAAATGCTTTCATCTGTAAAAATTCTACTTTCATCTATAAGACATAAAGAGATTAATTACTTATAAAAATAAAGATAAATAAATCAAACAATTTGTAGGAGTCTCATATATTTGACCCCAATGGAGTATACCCCCTCCAACCCTATACATAAAATCAATTTAAAAGTTTTAATTTGGTTTAGATCCAATTTTTTATTTTTTGCATTAATTTTTTTTTCATAATACCCAACTATTTATTCAGACATTTTTACTTTTGCATATTAAATTTTATTCATTAAATGAAATTGGGTATTTTGGAAAAACTCTCATAAATTCTCTACATTCGACATCAGGAGTATTTCATATTCAAATTCAAATTATGAGTGGCTGCATTAAATTAAAAAGATTAGAAGAAGTGAAAGGGTTAACAAATTAGAGGCCCAAAATTTGTGAGAGAGACGCAGATAAGAAGCAAACAAAGGCGATAAGCTTGATTTAAAACAATAACGCTTTTTCAAATTTCAAGGCTTACACCTTCCTTTCAAACCACGCTTCCACCAGCCAGCCCTTCCCTTCCCTTCCCTTCCCTTCCCTCACCTTCCTTTCCACCCATGCAATTTTCCTCACTCTCCACATTCTTTTTTATTTCTTAATTCATTCACAAGACTAAAACTCGGTTAAAGATATAGAATTTCATCCTCCTAATCCAATAATCGTTTACAGCGTGTCGCTTTGTTTGCGTAATAAGCTATTATATTGGTTAGGATTGAGAATTGTTGACTCATCTGATTTTTTTCCTCCGTTCATGAAATTCAACCTTGTCACCTGCTGAATGATATTGATTAATGCAAGTAGCCTCTCCCTCAGTATAGCTAATAAACTGTTACTGTTACTTGGATGATTGCGAAATATCTGGATTGGGAAAAAAACACACTAGGAAATTTCCAACGTCCGCCTCTCAAATGCAACAACCGAGCTGTCCACTTTCCACCCAATATATTTCTTGTATTGTGAGGGAAAGCGGCCACCATGGAGGTCACCAACAAAAAGCTTTAATTATTCTCTTCATCTCCAAATAAATTGGACTCAGAGCAGATATCCTCACATAGTTCGACACGGACAAAGTTTTGGAACAAAACGATCCTAAGAGGGTCCAAATTGTGGAAGAGTATATCCATACCTTGTCTGGGGCAGCAAGAAAATTTGATACTGAAAAGTATCAGTAATGGGCTTTGCAAGCAGTGTAGGCAAGTACAGACTTGGGCGTACGATTGGAGAAGGGACATTTGCTAAGGTTAAGATTGCTGTTAACAGCCTCAATGGTCAATATGTGGCGATCAAGATCCTTGATAAGAAAATGGTCATGGAGAGCCATCTCAAGTATCAGGCAACCTTCATCCTTGTCTTCCTTTTTGTCCCTTTTGGTACGCTATATATGTTTTTCTGCATATTCATGCTGAGTTACATGTTTCAGGTTCAAAGAGAGATAAGAACAATGAAGCTTCTGAACCATCCCAATATTGTAAGAATCCATGAGGTATGTATATATGTATGTAGGCAAAGTTTGAGATTTGCAAATGGGTACCTTTCTGAATCTTGTTTTAACAGGTTCTTGGCACGAAGACGAAGATATATATTGCGATGGAGTATGTATCAGGAGGACAACTATCAGACAAGTTGGTGAGAATTTATAGAGATGACCCCTTCAAACTAAGTATTGTTTTGTTGTATGCTGGTTCAATTCTAATCCCTGTCTATAATCATTTCAGTCTTATGCCGGAAAGTTGAATGAAAATGAAGCAAGAAAACTTTTCCAGCAACTTATTGATGCTGTAGATTACTGCCATAACAAAGGAGTTTACCATAGAGATCTTAAGGTCAGTTGAATCAGTCTGTCTTTGTCCATTTGAAAAGGAATTTCAACGAATTAACTTGGGATCTGTGACATGTATTTAATAACAGCCAGCAAACTTGCTTCTCGACAGCAAAGGGAATCTCAAGCTGTCTGATTTTGGACTGAGCGCGACGAGAAAGGTAGCGCCTTTTCTGAAAAATTTATCATCCCCGATCACTTATAACTCGTTTTCTTCCTAACTTATTCAAATTTCAATACATTTACAGCCTGATAATGTTCTAACAACTGCATGTGGTTCCCCAAGCTATGTGGCACCTGAGGTAATTTCAAATTTTCTTCAACATAGCATCTGCTGAATCAAATTAGCTCTCTGGGAATAAAACTAATGATTATATTCCTGTAACTTATGATCCTCCATCCTTATGTGATGATCAGCTTCTGTGGAACAAGGGCTACGACGGAGCAGCTGCTGATGTTTGGTCATGTGGGGTTATACTTTTTGAATTACTCGCAGGTTATCTTCCTTTTGATGACCACAACTTGATGAACTTGTATAAGAAGGTATGTACTTATAGGAACTAGTAAAACTTAAAAAAAAAAAACCTCATTAGGTAATTTACATTCTCTTGTGACTTTCAATTCTGCAGATAAGTAGAGCAGAGTACACGTGTCCACCATGGTTTACAGTAAGTCAAAGGAAACTAATTGCCAAAATACTTGAACCACGAGTTGCAAAGGTAGAAATTTTGAAAAAAGATCACCTGTGTTCTATGAATGTAACTAGTTGGTAACAACATGCTTTTCCACTTCATTGATGTTTCATTCAGCGAATAAATATGCCAGAGATCATGGAAGATGGATGGTTCCAAACAGATTATGTGCCGGCTTGTGAATCGGGGTGTGATCAGAACATTCACATGGATGATGTTAATGCTGCTTTCGATTCAGTTGAGGTAATTCATCAACAAACAGCAAAACAAGTTAAGAGGAAACTCAGTGTGGACAAAAAAATATCTGACATTCTTTGCTTCAGGAGAATATCTTAGAGGCAACAATCCCCACGTCCTCAAGTTTCATTAATGCTTTCCAACTGATAGCCATGTCTCAGGACCTTGATCTATCAGGCCTTTTCGAAGAACAGGTAAGTCTACAAATACAAAAGCAGCATCTTGAAGTGATTTATTTGTTTCATTCAATCATTAATATCAGTGTTGGCTGTTTCTTGCATAGGATCAAATGCAGAAAACAAGACTAGGATCCAAACACACAACATCTATGAAACCATAGAGAAGATAGAAACTGCTGCAACAGACGTGAAGCTGTCAATAGAAAAAATGAACAACTTCACGGTATAAACCGGGCTTATTGGATTTCTTAGTCAATCTATATTTTGTAGCTTTTCCAGAGGCTAGAAACTAATGACTTTTCCCTTCATATCAGTTAAAAATGCACCCTAAAGGAACGATGACTAGATGTTCCAGATCATATTATGACCTATCAGCTAAGGTAATTTATTGTTCCATTCCATGATCTACTCTTTGCATTTCTCTCTGTTATTACTAAAAAATCTTTTCACCTCTATGTGAGGTAACTGCCAGGTGATTGAAGTTACTCCAGCTCACTGTGTTGTTGAAATATCAAAATCTACAGGAGATTTAAGAACCTACAAAAAAGTAAGATCACATTTTCTCTTTACTGGTTATGCAAGTTCATTGGTTTTTTACATACTGAACTGCTTTATTTTGATGACCAGTTTTGTGAAAGTCTATCCAGTCTACTGACAGAAAATTCTGCTGCATCATCACAATCCCACGAGTCTGTGGAACAATGCATCAAGGGAAAAGATAACCAAGATGCTGGCCGGTAATTATAAGCCTATATTACATCACTCAGAGATCATAATTATGTTCAATGGCACTAGCTGACTGGAAATTTAATATTTCAGCTCTGAAGAGGCAAACTGTGAAGATAACAAAGGCATTCATGAACATACATCTGCTTGAAGATTGTCAGGCTTCTTTGATAGAGATAAACCAGAATTCCAAAACAATAATTCTTACAAGTTCAAATTCAAACCAATGATTCTTTTCTCTTTTTTTTTTTTCCCCGTTCACTGCAAACATGTTGACTGATACAAACTTAACTATCACTTCAACAGTTCATCGTTTTGTCCATAGATTTCATTTATCTCACAGCAACTAATTAGCCACGTGAAATGTAATTTGCAGCAATTCAAGCTCCTCTATCAGAATTATTTGTCCATTATGTCTCCATTCAAAGCAGGGAGACAAGGGATCATGTTGATTTACTCTAGTGCATTAATTATTTGAGGCAACACCTGAACGCTAAACCAACCTAATTAATGGCAGTCAAGACCTTGTGAGCCATCATCAGAAATAATTGTAAGTAGAAATGATGAATAATATAGATCCTTTCCAGTCCCAAAAGTGACAGAATATAACTTACTTTGAGAGAGAAGAGATGTTAGATGTAAATAGAAGAAGTGGGTCTTTTTTATGTACTGAGCCTCACTCTTAAATAATGAAAGGTTCTAAATACTTCAGATAAGACAATAAAGAAATTCAAGAAAAATAAATTTTATTCCAAATTCAAATCCACTGGAAGTGTTTGATGTTTTCAGTCCAAAATGAACATCCGGTAGACGAATATGGAAGAATTCAATGAATGTAACTAAATCAGAAATAAAATTAGTCCTCATATCAGATATCTTAGATAAATCCCAGATTATATGTACGCATGCAGAAGCATAACACATTAAGTTCCTCTGTTGAAAAATACTCAATATCATTTTCTTATGGTTGATGTGAAATGTGAGTCAAGGTTGAAGAAGAACACCAGATTTTGTGAATCAGCAAACAATACCTCTAAAATCTATATCAGCAGAACTTAATAACTTGATTTGTTCATGGATAGAAAAACTTCAAGATGCCCTCCAACCAGAAAAAAACATATGTAGATAAAGCAAGCACGTTTGTCCTAATTCTGCCTTCACTTGGGAAGGATTACTCACTTATCTCACATGAGCGTATTTTTTGATTTCGTTGTTGATATGAGAATCTCATTGGCAAATAATCTGTTCTTGTCAGCATTTTGAAATGTGAGGTTTACCTATGCAGAAAATCACAATTTACATATGTTCTCTGAATCGGCTGGCTCTAACATATTGTTAATGCATCAAAGTCAACTATAAACAAAGCTCGTTGGCAAATAATCTCAATGATAGTTGGTTTAACTATAAACAAAGCTTTTAAATATGTTAATGCATCAAAGTCAACTATAAACAAAGCTTTTAACATATTGTTAGTGTATCAAAGTCAGCAAATGCTGAGTGAGCCATGAAAAATACCTATATGTGCCGCCAAAAATAGGGCCAGTAGCTCATTAACTTTTGCGTTAGTAGATTGTCAAAAAGCAAAGTAATATTTTAATAAAATCAGGTAATGTATCACAAGAAACGTCACATAATCCTCTTCAAACTTTTCCCCTTATAATAAATGACAATAAAAAAAGTTCTAGGGAGGAAGAAAGAACACAGGAATCGTAGAAAATATCTCATTTCCAAGTTTAATTTAATATCAAAGAAAGAAATGTTGCTTGGCTGCCTTTTGTCTTGTCATTGAAAAAAATGTAAAGCAAATAATTAGAGACCCTTGAACACACACACACACTAGACAAATTCATCCCAGGTGCAACTCACGGGAAATGAGAGCTCCCACATATGGAATAAATTGAAACTGGAATGATAAGTCCACAAGTAGTGTTGATTCCCTACTTCTCTAAATAGGGTAAATGGCCAACCACATCAAAGGAAAGAGATTTTGTGACCCCCCCCCCCCGGGGGGTCAAATAACAGCTTTGTGTTTCTGTTCTTTTCTTCACTTATCACCCTGTTTTCCCTTGATATAATTATATATAATCTGGTATTATTGGATCAAATTCAAGTATTATGGGATTACATTGGAGATAACTTTTCCAACATAATTTTTTTTTTATTTGTAAGGTTTGAAATCTCAATCTTATTTGAGGAAAATCAAGTCTCTTCCACTCAACCTAAAGTATTGTTAATTCACCTATTCTTTATGTGTAGTCTTGAAAGGAGCGGATAAAAATTATTTTAAAAAAAAAATGCAAATCATGCAAAGCCGATCGTTAACTGCTAATCAGGGTACTATGATGAAATTTTAATCTCGGGTTGCAATGATATGAAAAATTAAGATGGCATTGACTATGTTCTCACTTATCCCTTTTGATACCAAGCATTAAAAATAAGAGATAAGGACAAGGATTGTAAAATTATTAAAAAGTATTTAGCATAAATAATTATTTGGTACATAAAATTAGGTAAATCTATAGAGGTAGGATTGGAGAACACTACCTTCCTCTATAGTATTCTCTGATCCCACATATACGGATTTGTTTAATCTCACATAGCAAAAAATCTCTCATATTAAACACTCTTTTAATAGGTTTTTTTAATCCTGATTTCAATCTGTACCATTTATTTTCAATGCTTCGTACTAAACGAGACCATTGTTCCTAATGTATGGAAATCAATCTCTCACAAAAATTTACTCAAGCAATGTTAACTATCAAGCATATTTAAATTCTCATTTTAATGACAATTAAAGATTTTAAAATTTTGAATTCCAAAAGAGTCATGGTTTTTTTTGTTGAAATTTAAAACTTTCTGAGCTAATTTTTTAGTGCTTAACCTTTTATAGCCTTAGTACTTATCTTCCATATTTTTAGTACTTATATTTAGAAATGTTAAAAATCAGATTTTTAATTCTTTTCAATAGTTATTTTAGATGTTTTTAATACTCACATTCCATATTTTAACACTTACCTTTATTTTTAATGACCTACTTAAAGTAAATCAAAAGCTTTGGAGCGTTGACCTGCACCCAGTCCTCCATACTTGGCGTTCAAATTCGAGGAACACTTCATCTCAGAGGCATAACTTATTTGAGTGAAAATCCGTAAATAGTTTTATGACAATTTCTACGAAATTAAACGACATTCAAATTTCAAAGTAAGATGCCCTCATCAAAAATTCTGTTGTCACAAGCACATTTCTTAAGCCCTGTTTTTCCTCCTCCTTTTGATGTTGAGCCCACCAATAACAGACTCACTTCGAACACATTGGATATGTCGCTCATGTCCATTACAGTAACGCCAAACATATTTCACAGAATAAAAACAGGCTACTTACACAATTTTACCAGAAACAGGCGAATTCTTTAAGGCCTGCACCTCTGTCCTCAACTTGAAAAAGATGGAGAGACATAACAGGCTGCCTGTACCCAAAAACACAAATAAAAAAGCAGGCTGGCGACACCTACCAGTCTACCACGTTAGTTTTATTATACTACCTCCTGGCCTTGACATAAATTCTTGTTTAACTTTTATTTTAATTCTAAATATAAAATTCTAATTTATTTTATATCTTATATTTATATTCCTCTAGTCCTACTTATAGGGCAGAGAGAAAAGATTTTTTTATCCTATTTATAAGTCACTTTCATTAAATTTTCAGTATAACTATACTATTTTATCCTTCATTTATTATGATGTAAGTATCTATCTTTTTAAAAATCTGTATATATTAAATATGAGTAAAGTTAAAAATTTATTATATTTAATTGAAGAATTAATCCATTTTAAGGTTTTCTTTGTCTGTAGAAAACATGCTGGAAACATTTTATAAATAGAACCAGAGAAGTACATTTTTCTAAGGTATTCCTTCTTAAAATGATAGTTCTAACTAATATACTTTATTAGCAAGAATATTTTAAGAAATACACATACATATTTATTACAAACAACTAATTTAACTTATTTTCTTAATCTCTTTAAATTAGTCAACTAGTTCTCATTATTAGAGCCGAAAGCAGTAATATGCCTTTTTGGAGGCGTGGTCATAAGAAATCAATGTGAATATGTAGACAAGAAAAGCATCGAATAAAAAGGATTGCATGACAGCTTTTCCATGTACCGA